CTTATTGCTATTGCTAGAATTTCAAGCACTATATTGAAGAGGTATGGAGAGAGTGGACATCCTTGTCGTGTTCCTGATTTTAGTGGGATGGCTTTGAGTTTTTCTCCGTTTAATTTAATGTTAGCTGTTGGCTTGCTGTAAATAGCTTTTATTATATTTAGGTAGGACCCTTGTATCCCTATTCTCTCCAAGACCTTTATCATAAAGGGGTGTTGAATTTTGTCGAATGCTTTTTCAGCATCTAGTGAAATGATCATATGGTTTTTTTCTTTCAGTTTATTTATATGGTGGATTACATTGATAGATTTGCGTATGTTGAACCAGCCCTGCATCTCTGGGATGAAGCCTACTTGATCATAATGGATAATTTTTCTTATGTGTTCTTGGATTCGGTTTGCCAGTATTTTATTGAAAATTTTTGCGTCGATGTTCATGAGTGAGATCGGTCTGTAATTCTCTTTCTTGGTTGGGTCTTTTTGTGGTTTTGGTATCAGGGTAACTGTAGCTTCATAAAAGGAATTTGGCAATGACTCTTCTGATTCTATATTGTGAAATACATTAAGGAGTATAGGTATTAGTTCTTCTTGGAAGTTCTGGTAGAATTCTGCATTGAAACCATCTGGTCCTGGGCTTTTTTTCGAAGGGAGATTTTTGATAACCATTTCTAATTCTTCGCGAGAAACCGGTCTATTTAGATCATTCACCTGGTCTTGGTTTAGCTTTGGTATATGATACTTATTTAAAAAAATGTCCATTTCTTTTGTATTTTCCAGTTTTGTGGCATACAGGCTTTTGTAGTAAGATCTAATGATTCTCTGAATTTCCTCTGTGTCTGTGGTTATGTCCCCCTTTTCATTTCTGATCTTATTTATTTGCGTGTTCTCTCTCTGTCGTTTAATTAGTTTGGATAGGGGTTTGTCGATCTTGTTGATTTTCTCCAAGAACCAGCTTTTTGTTTCATTGATTCTTTGGACTGTTTTCTGTGTTTCTATTTTGTTGATTTCAGCCCTCAGTTTTATTATTTCCAGTCTTCTACTTCTCCTGGGCGCGTCTGCTTCTTTTTTTTCTAGAGCTTTCAGGTGTGTTTTTAAGTCCCCAATGTATGCATTCTCCGTTTTCTTTAAGTGGGCACTTAGTGCTATGAACTTTCCTCTTAGCACTGCTTTCATTGTGTCCCATAGGTTTGAGTATGTTGTCCCTTTATTTTCATTAAATTAAAGGAAGACTTTAATTTCTTTCTTGATTTCTTCCTTGACCCAGGTGTGGTTCAGTAGTTGACTGTTCAGTTTCCATGAGTTTGTCGGTTTTTTGGGGGCAGCGTGGTTGTTGCCTTCTAACTTTAATCCGTGATGATCTGATAAGACACAGGTGGACACTGATATTTTTTTGTATCTGTGGAGGTTTCCTTTGTTTCCGAGTATGTGGTCAATTTTTGAGAAGGTTCCATGAGCTGCAGAGAAGAAGGTATATTCTTTCCTATTTGGGTGGAATGTTCTATAGATGTCTGTTAAGTCCATTTGCTTCATTACCTCCAATAATTCTCTTAATTCTCTATTAGGTTTCTGTCTGATTGACCTGTCCCTTGGAGAGAGAGGTGTGTTGAAGTCTCCTACTACTAGTGTGTGTGGTTTGATGTCTGCCTTGAGTTCTAGTAATATTTCTTTTACATAAGTAGGTGCTTTTATATTGGGGGCGTATATATTCAGGATTGAGACCTCCTCCTGATGAATTGTTCCTGTTATGAGTATAAAGTGACCGTCTCGGTCTCTTCTGATTGATTTTAGTTTGAAGTCAGTTTTGTTAGAAATTAGTATGGCCACACCTGCTTTTTTCTTAGGACCATTTGCTTGAAAGACCTTTTCCCAACCCTTTACTCTGAGTAGGTGCCTGTCTTTGTGGTTGAGATGTGTTTCTTGCAAACAGCAGAATGTTGGATCCTGTTTTCGTATCCAATCTTTTAGCCTGTGCCTTTTTATAGTTGAATTGAGCCCATTAATATTAAGTGATATTAATGACCAGTGGTTGTTTACTCCGGTTATTCTTATTGCTTTTGGTAGTAGAGATTGTGTGTCTCCCTTCTTTGAGATGTGCTCGTGAAGGGTCATTAGATGCCTGGGTTATTGTAGGCAGTGTTGGCAGTGTTGGATTCCTTGGGTTGCGATTTTCCTTCTATTACTTTCTGTAGTGCTGGATTTGTGGCTACGTATTGTCTAAATTTGTTCTTATCCTGGAATGTCTTGTTTTCTCCATTGATAATGAACGATAGCTTGGCTGGGTATAGTAGTTTGGGTTTGCATCCATGGTCTCTTAGCTTCTGCAGAACCTCTATCCAGGACCTTCTGGCTTTCATAGTTTCCATAGAGAAGTCAGGTGTAAGTCTGATCGGTTTACCTTTATAAGTTACTTGCCCTTTTTCTTTTGCAGCTCTTAATATTCTTTCTTTAACCTGTATATTTTGTGTTTTGATTATTATATGGCGAGGAGATGTTTTTCTTTGATCCAGTCTGTTTGGTGTTCTGTATGCTTCTTGAATATTTAAATGAATATCTTTCTTTAAGTTGGGAAAGTTTTCTTCCATAATTTTGTTGAAAATATTTTCTGGGCCTTTGAGCTGTGACTCTTCTCCTTCTTCTATTTCTATTATTCTTAGGTTTGGTTTTTTTATTGTGTCCCATAGTTCCTGAATGTTTTGTGTTGAGAATTTGTTGGCTTTGCTGTTTTCTTTGATCTGTTCGTTTATTTTCTCTATGGTGTCCTCAGCATCTGAGAGTCTTTCTTCTAGCTCTTGTATTCTATTGATTATGCTTGTTTCTGTAGACTCTGCTCGTTGGCCTAGATTTTCCATATCCAGCTGGTCCTCAGTTTGTATTTTCTTCTTTGCCTTCATTTCAGTTTTCAATTCTTGAACTGTTTCCATTACCTGCTTGATGGTTTTTTCTTGGTTTCCCAGGGTATCATGCACGTATTTACTCATTTCTTCAAACTTTTTGTTATACTTCTCATCCATTTCTATAAGGGCATTTTTTACATGTTGTTTAAGGGACTCTATTATCTTCATAAAGTCGATTTTTTCCACTTCTTCTGTGTTAGGTTGTTCAAATACTTCTGTTGTAAGATCATTGGGTTCTGATGTTTTCATGTTGTTTTTCGGATTATTGGGTGAATTCTTGCCTTGGCGCCTGCCCATTTCCTCCTATTGATCCTATCCAATGGGTCCTTTAAAAACCGGATCAGGTTTCCCTGCTGGCCAAGGGCTCCGCTTACAAAATGCCCTCACTCTCTTTCATGGTTCCTGCTGCAGGCCAAGAACCCTCTCACCCCTCCGAAGGATCTTCAGGACAGGACCAGGCTCCCCTTGTGCCAGTGACCTGGCCAACCAAAAGCCTACCTCTTTGATTCAATTGTAGTAGGGCGAACTGCTCTCCTTATTGCACGCCTGTCCTCACCGCTTGGGTCTGCCGCTGTGCTGGTCCCCAAAAGCCTCTTCCTGTATGTGGTGTTGCTCCGCCGCGTCTGGCCGCCGCGCCGCTCCGCCTCTGCGCGTCTAGGTTTGGTCTTTTTATTGTGTCCCATATTTCCTGAATATTTTGTGATGAGAGTTTGTTGGACTTGCTGTTTTCTTTGATCAGAGTGTTTATTTTCTCTATGGTATCTTCAGAATCTGAGATTCTTTCTTCTATCTCTTGTATTCTGTTGGTTATGCTTGTTTCTGTAGACTCTGTTTGTTTACTTAAATTTTCCATGTCCAGCTGGCCCTCTGTTTGTGTTTTCTTCTTTGCCTCCATTTCAGTTTTCACGTCTTGCACCGTTTCCATTATCTGTTTGATTGTTTTTCCTTGGTTTTCTAGGGTATCATTCACTGATTTATTCAGTTCTTCAAACTTTCTGTTATATTTCTCATCCATTTCTATAAGGGCATTTTTTACATGCTGTTTAAGGGCATCAATCACTTTCATGAAGTCAACCTTTTCTACTTCTTGATTAATGTGTTCATGTCCTCCCGTTGTGAGGTCGCTGGTTTCTGGTGGCTTCATGTTGCTTTTCAGCTTGTTGGGCGAATTCTTGCCTTGGCGTCTACCCATCTCTTCTTCCAAATGCTCCCTTATGGATCTTCTTTACCGGATCAGGTCTCCTTGCCTACCCAATGCTGGATCTCCCCAACGTTGTCTCTCCCCAATGCTGGGTCTCCCCAAGGCTGGGTCTCCTGGCACCGAGAGATCAGGCCTCCGTGCTGATGGGCAGGTGGCAAACAAAGCGCCTACCCTGCTTGGTGCAGGCAGGCCAAAGAAACAAAGGAACTCGCGCCTGCTTGGGTGCCCCGAGGATTCGGACCCAGTGCCCAGACAGGCTGGGCTGGGTGATGTTATGTGCAGAAAGAGGGCGGTGGGGCAAATTGGGGAGGGTTCTGGATGGAAGCTGGGTGGGCTAGGAAGAAAGAGGAGGTATGCAGGGAGTGGGGGCCCTGCCGAGAGCTCAAGAAGGATAGGGGGCCAAGGAAGCTCTGAACTCCCCTTCCCGGGCTGGCGCCGCAGGGTCAGAAACTCATCCCAAGGCTGGGTCTCCTGGCGCCGAGAGATCAGGCCTCCTTGCTGGTGGGCAGGTCGCAAACAAAGCGCCTACCCTGCTTGGTGCAGGCAGGCCATAGAAACAAAGAGACTCCCGCCCGCTTGGGTGCCCTGAGGATTCGGACCCAGTGCCCAGACAGGCTGGGCTGGGTGATGTATGTGCAGAAAGAGGGCGGTGGGGCAAATTGGGGAGGGTTCTGGATGGAAGCTGGGTGGGCTAGGAAGAAAGAGGAGGTATGCAGGGAGTGGGTGCCCTGCCGAGAGCTCAAGAAGGATAGGGGGCCAAGGAAGCTCTGAACTCCCCTTCCCGGGCTGGCGCCGCAGGGTCAGAAACTCACCCCAACGCTGGGTCTCCTGGCGCCTAGAGCGCTGGAACACATCTTAACAACCCCACTTGCAACATTGACTTCAAGTTCCCTTGTTCCAGTTTCCAACTCATGAACAAAGATCATGTTTTATTAATTCTATTTCAGAATACTTCTCATAAGTTGTTTTATTTACAATGCCAACTTTCAAAGGCTCACTGAAGTTAACTGGACAATGAACTAGGCAGAAATCACTTTACAGAAAGAGGGAAAGCCCAAAATGCCACTTTCCACAGAGAACCCAAAAGTTCAGTTTTATTCAGAATACTGAAAAAAACAAAAACAAAAGAACTTTAGCTCATAGAAGAAACTCAGCCATAGGTCAGATCTGTACTGGAACTACACATGCAGTGAGGACGAGACTGCGTTTGTCTACCGTTCTCATATTAACAATTATAAACAGAGCAGTGCAACTAGCATGTGGAGCAACCCTTCTAGTGTTACAGTGTCAGGCACAGCACTTCACTCTCTTCACACCACTGGTTCTCTTTGCGTACCTGGGCCTCGTCCTCTTCAGTAAAGTCATTTTTGATATTGAAGGTTTTACGAATCTCCTCAGGAGTTTTCCTCTTAATCATATTGGCCACAGTCTTGCATGTGACATCAAGCAAACCTTTGATGTCTAAGTAGTTTGCAGCCAGAATAAGTTCGAAAAGTGTTCCTTGGTCAACTTTCAGGAATTCTTGGTCCCAAACATGAATATCATCTGTCCGCTTTTCTTTGTTCTCATCATCCTCAGGAGGAGGAGGGTCATCCTTGTGATGGGTGCACCACTGAATGACCTTTTTTAGAATTGCTGCATTAACATTTGGTAAAGGAACAGGATCATCATCTCCCTCATCATCCATTCCCAAATCTTCCAGCATGGTCTTGATAGTCACAGATTGTTTGGCAATTTCTACATCAACTTCAAATATCTCTCCATCAGAACTCTGCAACTTTATCGAAGGCATGGTGCTCGGTCTCAAGACCGCGGGCCTGAGGCGCCGGTCACCGATAACAGAGAAGATACGAGGAGGACAAGGCCACTCCACATAACAATTTTTATCCCTGAAAGAAATGATAGTTATAAGTGAATTTATCAACCCCAGATGAGATTTCTTCCCCTTTTCCCCCTTTTTCCTTTTCTTTCTTAATTTCTTTCTTTCTTTCTTCCTTCCTTCCTTTCTCTTTCTCTTTCTTTTCTTTTCCTTTTTTTTTCAGGAAACAGATGAGAGGGGCCGCAGTGTCCAGCTGCCACCGTTGGTTTGGTGGAGATTAGGGCAAATTACAGGAAATGTTTCATTTTATAGTTAGCTGGATGACCAAGGCCTGGATACATATTTGGTGGGGATGCCTGGAAGCTAAAGACTTTGGAAAAACTCAGTTTGTTAAGGTCAGGAGGAATGGTCCGACATTGGCTTATACCCTCTCTTCCCTGTCCACACCAGCACGGAGAGAGGAGCAAGCGCAGAGTCTGTACCCAGCGGATCAATGGCCCTATGGACATTAGAACATTAGAACCCCCCCCCCCCCATGGACAGATAGAAATGGGACTGATATGTGAAACGGGGAGCTGGTGGCAAACTCTCTTAAGGCTGATGGGTGAGGGTGACAGGAACTCACAGGGAGGGCTCCTATCCCCGCCCCCACAACTTGCTCAGATGAACACCATAAGGAGAGACGTTCCGCAGAGCCCAAAGCTGGGCAGAGCCAACGACTTGGGAGAAACAGTGAGCGGACGGCGATGTGAGTCTGAGGGCTGAGACAGCCTTGTGCTCTAAGTTCTCTGACAAAGTTAGGAGGAAACTACGGCAAGGATCCACCCCTGTTTTTCCTAATACAGATCTGCTGAACCGTAGGAAATTGAACTGCATAGCCAAACTCAGTGTAGTTGTGAGTAAAACACCACCAAAGGTGGTCTAAACTCCTGTGGAGCAATACTAACTTTAGATTTGCTTTTTCACAGGTTTGAACCAGAACTGCAAGTGGTGTCTTTCCCCATCAATGCAGTTCTCTACATGAAACATCACAAAGAGGCAGAGTTCAAAATCCATCCCACCAAGGAAAAATATCAATTGATGTGATTGAAAAAAATCTCATGTACCACATTTTGAATTTTTGTTTATTAACATTTTTGAAGGCTAGAAGTTATTTTTAATAGATTTTAATTAAAATAGAATTATATAACTTCCCCTTCCCTTTCTTGCCTCTAGCCCAGCCCAGTAACCCTCATTTGAACCTCTCCTATGTCTCCCTTTTAAGTTGGTAGCCACTTTTCTTTGATTATTGTTACATATGTATAGCTGTACGTATTCATATGCATGAATATATAAAAATAAATCTCCTGAATCTGTTTTCTGTGTATATTGTTTAGGGGCTGACGACTACATTGGACAACCAGTGAGGGGGCTCATCCCTGGGAGAGGCTGATTATCCTCCCAGCAGTCTCTAGCTGCATACAGATTTTTTTCTATGGATGGGACCCATGAAATTTTACCCCTTCCACATGTACTTGTCTCTTGATATTGCCATTTTCCCAATCTTGTGTATGCTTACATTTTTAGGAGAGACTGTTTCACAGCTGAGCTACAATATTCTGACTTTTACACTCTTTCTGCTCCATCTTCCATGGTGTTCCTGAGACACGAGAGCTGTGATGTGGCTGTATCCACTGGAAATGAGCTCTCTACAATCTCTTATCCTTGCATTGTGTCCTGTTGCCGTTTTCTGTGATGGCCTCCATCTGCTATAGAACAAAAATAAGCAGACTCAACCAGGACAAGTAGAAGACAGGAAATAATCAAATTGAGAGCTGAAATCACCAAAATAGAAACAAAGAAAACAACCCAAAGACTCAATGAAACGAAGAACTGGTTCTTTGAGAAAATCAACAAGATAAACCCTTATCCAAACTAATCATAAGGCAGAGAGAGAACATCCAAATGAATAAAATCAGAAATAAAAAGGGAAACATAACAAAGACACAGGAAATTTAGGGAATAATTAGATCATACTACAAAAACCCATAGTCCACAAAATTGGAAAATGTAAATGAAAATGGGCAATTTTTTAGATAGATACCATGTTACAAAAATTAAATCAAGACCAGATGAGCAATTTAAATAGACCTATGAACTTCAAGAAATTGAAGCTGTCATCAAAACCTCCCAACCAAAAAAAAAAAAAAAAAAAGCCCAGGGCCGGATGGTTTTAGTGCATAATTCAACCAGAACTTCCAAGAAGAGCGAATACCTCTACTCCTCATAGTGTTCCATATAATAGAAACAGAAGGAACATTGCCAAACCCTTTTTTATGAGGCTACAGCCACCCTGATACCAAAACCACACAAAGACTCTACCAAGAAAGAGAATTACAAACCAATCTCACTAATGAACATAGATGCAAAAATAATCACTAAAATACAGGCAACCTGAATGCAAGAACACATTAAAAAATTATCCATTACTGCTGTTTGTGGCTATCGTGAATGGTGAAGCTTCTCTGATTTCCCTCTCTGCTTCCCTATCCTTTGTGTATAAGAGGGCGACTGATTTTTTGGAGTTGATCTTGTATCCTGCCACATTACTAAAGGTGTTTATCAGCTGTAAAAGTTCTTTGGTGGAGTTTTGGGTGTCGCTTATGTACAGTATCATATCATCTGCGAATAACGAAAGTTTAACTTCTTCCTTTCCAATTCGAATCCCCTTGATCCCATTATGTTGTCTTATTGCTATTGCTAGAACTTCAAGTACTATATTGAAGAGGTATGGAGAGAGTGGACATCCTTGTCGTGTTCCTGAGTTAAGCGGGATGGCTTTGAGTTTCTCTCCGTTTAATTTGATGTTAGCTGTCGGCTTGCTGTATATAGCTTTTATTATATTTAGGTATGACCCTTGTATCCCTAATCTCTCCAAGACTTTTAACATAAATGGATGTTGAATTTTGTCGAATGCTTTTTCAGCATCTAATGAGATGATCATATGGTTATTTTCCTTCAGTTTATTTATATGCTGGATTACATTGATAGATTTTCGTATGTTGAACCAGCCCTGCATCTCAGGAATGAAGCCTACTTGATCATAATGGATAATTTTCCTCATGTGTTCTTGGATTCGGTTTGCCAGTATTTTGTTGAGGATTTTTGCGTCGATGTTCATGAGTGAGATTGGCCTGTAATTCTCTTTCCTGGTTGAGTCTTTGTGTGGTTTTGGTATCAGAGTAACTTTAGCTTCATAAAAGGAATTTGGTAATGACCCTTCTGTTTCTACATTCTATATTGCTGGAGAGGTTGTGGAGGAAGGGGTACCCTCATCCATTGCTGGTGGGAATGCAATCTTGTGCAACCACTATGGAAGTCAGTGTTTCGGTTTCTTAGGAAATTCGGGATCAACCTACCCCTGGACCCAGCAATACCACTCTTGGAAATATACCCAAGAGAGGCCCTATCATATGACAAAAGCATTTGTTCAACTATGTTTATAGCAGTATTATTTGTAATAGCCAGAACCTGGAAACAACCTAGATGCCCTTCAATGGAAGAATGGATGAAGAAAGTATGGAATATATACACGCTAGAGTACTATGCTGCGGTAAAAAACAATGACTTCTCGAATTTTGCATGCAAATGGATGGAAATAGAAAACACTATCCTGAGTGAGGTATCCCAGACCCAAAAAGATGAACATGAGATGTACTCACTCATAATTGGTTTCTAACCATAAATAAGGGTCACGGAGTCTACAATAGGTGAATCTAAAGAAGCTAAGTAAGAAGGGGAACCCAAGGAAAAACATATAGTTATCCTCTTGGCTAAGGGAAGTAGACAAAATTGCCGGGGAGAAAATTGGGATCTTGGGGTGGGGTGGGTTGGGGGTAAGGGGAGATGGGGAGAGAAAAGTTAGAAGGGAAGGAGGTCGGGCCTTGGGAAAGCAGGAGGATTGGGATAAAGGAAGGTTGGACAGGGGAGCACGGAACCACAATTCTTAGTTAAGGGAACCACTTTAGGGTTGGCAAGAGACCTGACCCTAGAGGGGCTCCCAGGTGCCCAAGCTGAGGTCCCCAGTTAGTTCCTTGGGCAGTTGAGAATAGGGAACCTGAAATGACCCTATCCTTGAGCAATACTGACGAATATCTTGCATATCATCATAGAACCTTCATCTGGTGATGGATGGAGATAGAGACAGAGACCCACACTGGAGCACTGGACTGAGCTCCCAAAGTCCCAATGAGGAGCAGAAGGAGGGAGAACATGAGCAAAGAAGTCGGGACCACGAGGGATGCACCCACCCACTGAGACAGTGGAGCTGATCTATTGAGAGCTCACCAAGACCGGCTGGACTGTGACTGAAAAAGCATGGGATAAAACTGGACTCTCTGAACATGGCGAACAATGAGGGCTGATGAGACGCAAAGGACAATGGCACGAGGGTTTGATCCTACATAATGTGATGGCTTTGTGGGAGCCCAGCCAGTTTGGATGTTCACCTTCCTAGATATGGACGGAGGTGGGAGGTCCTAGGTCTTACCACAGGGCAGAAAACCCTGACTGCTCTTTGGACTGGAGAGGGAGGGGGAAAGGAGTGGGGGGAGGGGGAGAAGGGTGGGAGGAGGGGGCGTATGGGGGGAGGAGGGGGAGGGAAATGGGAGGCTGGGAGGAGGTGGAAACTTGTTTTTTTTTTTCTCCTTTTCTCAATAAAAAAAGAAAAAAAATTATCCATTACGATCAAGTAGATTTCATCCCAGAGATGCAGGGCTGGTTCAACATATGAAAATCTATCAATGTAATCCATCATATACATAAACAGAAAGAAAAAAGAACCGTATGATCATCTCATTAGAAGCTGAAAAGCATTTGATAAAACCAATACCCATCATGATAAAGGTCTTGGAGAGATCAGGGATGTAAGGAACATATCTAAATATAATAAAAGCAATATATAGCAAGCCAACAGCCAATATCAAATTAAATGGAGAGAAACTCAAAGCGATTCCACTAAAATCAGAAACAAGACAAGGCTGTCCACTTTCTCCGTATCTCTTCAACATAGTTCTTGAAGTTTTAGCAATAGAAATAAGACATCAAAAAGAGATCAAGGAAATTCAAATTTGAAAGAAAGAAGTCAAACTTTCATTATTTGCAGATGATAAGATAGTGTACATAAGTGACCCCAAAACCTCTACCAGAGAACCCCTACAGATGATAAATAAATACCTTTGGCGATGTGGCAGGATACAAGATCAACTGAAACAAAAATCAGTAGCCCTTCTATATATACACAAAGGATAAAGAAGCTGAGTGGAAAATCAGAGAAACATCACTTTTTACGATAGCCACAAATAACTTAAAATATCTTGGGGGTAATACTAACCAAAGAAGTGAAAGACCTATTTGACAATAACTTTAAGTCTTTGAAGAAAGAAGTTGATGAAGATATCAGAAATGAAAAGATCTCCCATGCTCTTGGCTAGGTAGGAATAACATAGTAAAAATGACAATCCTACTAAAAACAATCTACAGATTCAATGCAATCCCCATCAAAATCCCAACACAATTCTTCACAGACTTTGAAAGAACAATAATCAACTTTATATGGAAAAACAATAAAGAAACTTCTGGAGGCATCACCATCTCTGACATCAAGCTTTATTACAGAGCTACAGTAATGAAAACAGCTTGGTATTGGCATAAAAACAGAGACGTTGACCAATGGAATCGAATCAAAGACCCAGATAATAATCTACACACCTACGAGCACCTGATTTTTGACAAAGAAGCTAAAATTATACAATTAAAAAAGGAAGTATCTTCAACAAATGGTGTTGGCATAACATGTAGAAAAATAAAAATAGATCCATATCTATTGCCATGCACAAAACTCAAGTCCAAATGGATTAAAGACCACAATATAAATCTGACCACACTAAACCTGATAGAAAAGTGGAAAGTTGTCTTCCTAACTATACCCCAGAGAATAAGGACAACAATAAATTAATGGGACCTCCTTAAACTGAAAAGTTTCTGTAAAGCAACGGATATAGTCAATAAGATAAAAAGGCAGCCTACTGAGTGGGATCTTCACCAAACCCACATCAGAAAAAGGACTAATCTCCAAAATATATAAAGAACTGATGAAATTAGACATTAAAATTCTAAATAACCCAATTTAAAAATGGGGTATGGAACTAAACAGAGACATTTCAACAGAAGAATCTCAAATTCCAAAAGATACTTAAGCACATGTTCAACATCCTTAGCCATCAAGGAACTGCAAATCAAAACAACTCTGAGATACCCTCTTACACCTGTCAGAATGTCTAAAATCAAAAACACTAATGATAGCTTATGCTGGAGAAGATGTGGAGTAAGTGGAATACTCATCCATTGCTGGTGGGAATGCAAACTTGTGCAACCACTTTGGAAATCAGTGTGGCGGTTTCTCAGGAAATTGGTAGTCAACCTACCTCAGGATCCAGCAATACCACTCTTGGGAAAAATACCCAAAAGATGCTCAATCATACTACAAAGCATTTGTTCAACTATGTTCATAGAAGCATTATCTGTAATAGCCAGAACCTGGAAACAACCTAGATGCCCCTCAATGGAAGAATGGATGAAGAAAGTGTGGCAATCCACACATTAGAGTACTACTCAGTGGTAAAAACCAATGACATCTTGAATTTTGCATGCAAATGGATAGAATTAGAAAACACTATCCTGGGGGCTGGAGAGATGGCTCAGCGATTAAGAGCACTGGCTGCTCTTCCAGAGGTCCAGCAACCATATGGTGGATCACAACCATCTGCAATGAGATCTGGTGCCCTCTTCTGGCCTGTAGGCATACATGGAGGCAGACATTGTATACAGAATAAATAAATAGAATCTTAAAAAAGATTTATTAACAAAAAGAAAACACTATCCTGAGTGAGTGAGGTAACCCAGGCCCCAAAAGATGAATAAAGTATGTACTCACTCATAAGTCGATTCTAGCTTTAAACAAAGTACATTGTGCCTACAGTTCATGATCTTAGAAAGGTTAAGGAATAAGGTGAATCCAAAGAAAAACATATATACATCTACCTGGAAATTGGAAACAGGCAAGATCACCTGATAATATTGGAAGCATGAGGATGGAGGGTAGAAAAAGAAGAGGAGGGGAGAAGAGGAGGGTTGAGAACTTGAGGAAATGGGATAGTTGAGATGGAGGAAGGAAAGAGATGAGAGCAAGGAAAGAGATATCTTGATTGAGGGAGCCATTATAGGGTTAGCAGAAACCTGGCTCTAGAAAAATTCCCAGGAATCCACAAGGATGACCCCAACTAAGAACCTAAGCAATAGAGGAGAGGGGGCCTGATCTTGATTTGCCCTGTAGTCAGATTGATGAATATCTTTTTTTTAATAATTAAAACTTTATTGAAAAACTGACACCAAAATAGGAGATCACTGTTGTATACTTTATAAAATCAAACACACTTACATTGTCTTGGTAGAGTCACTAAACTTGATAAGACTTTCTGTGAAAAATGCAAACTCAGGAATTTGTATAGATGAATAGTGTTGCTTTCTTCTAAATGAACAGCCTTCGGTGAGCCTGGCTTTTTCTCCTGTGGGCTGGCACAGAACTGGTGAACAACCTACACAAATAACCACTGTCTGAGCATGGCTGAAAACTGTAGTAATATTGTAGCAGCCTGAACATTTCACATCCATGAAGTAAGAATTTGGGCTCTGAACCAGCCGTTTCTTTTTATGTTTTTTCTTTTCATCTTCCAAGGAAGGGTGTAAAAGATCTCTAGCCAGAGGCATGGTGGGCTCGGCCAGCACCAGCACTCCAGATCTCTGAGGTGAGGTGCTTGCTGGCGAGTGCTCATCTCCAGACTGATGAATATCTTAAATATCACCATAGACTCTTCATCTAGCAATTTATGGATATAGAGGCAGAGACCCACATTGGAGCACTGGACTGAGCTCCCAATTTCCAGTTGAAGAGTGGAAGGAATGAGAATATGAGCAAAAAAGTCAAGAGCGTGAATGGTTTACCCACTGAAACAGTTTACCTGAGCTAATAGGAGCTCACCAATTCCAGCCAGACTGGGAAGTAACAAGCACAGGACCAAACTAGTCCCTCTGAATGTTGTTGACTGTTAAATTGCTGGGGCAGACTGAGGGGCTACTGGTGTGGCACCAGGATTTATCACTGCTGCATGTACTGACTTTTTGGGATCCTATTCTCTTTGGAAGTATACCTTGCTCAGCATAGATATAGTAGGGAGGGTCCTTGGACCTTCCCCAAAGCAATGTGCCTTATACTCTCTGAGGGTTGGATCGGGGTGGGGTGGGAGGGTGTGTGGAGGGAATGGGAGGAGGGAGTGGGAACTTGGATTGGTATTTTTTAAAAATCTAATAAATTAAAATAAATAAGTAAATAAAATAAAATAGGAGATCAGGTACTATTCTCCCCCCCCCCCAGACCAACGCCCCTTACCCTTTCCCCCTAAATGGCAGGGCCCCTTTATAGTAAGTCTTGTAACTCCCACAGCTGCAAGCTCAAGGGCCTCCCTCATTGGATTCACCTGTCTCATCTTAAACCTTTTACTCTTCCAGCTCAAGATACCCGCTCGTATATGGTAACTGAAACAGGACCTTGCTCTCTTATGTTCCAGAGGATACTAAGATCAACCACTTTTTTTTCCAGGTCCCAACCCCACCTGCCTCCAATTCACCCTCAAAAACCTATTTCCCCTTCCCAGTGAGATCCATACATTTTTCTCTAATTCCTCTTTGGGTTTAAAGCCTGTCTGGGTTTGAAGACCAGGGCAAGACCGTGTTTTACTTTACAGCTAATATCCACTTATAAGTGAGAACATATCATGTTTTCTTTTTGGCTCTAGGTTACCTCATGCAGAATTATTATTTTTTTTAAGTTCCATCCATTTGCCTGCAAATTTCAAGATGCCATTGTTTTTAACAGTTGAGTAATACTCCATTGTATAAATATACACATTTTCTTTACCCCGTTCTTCAGTTGAGGGACATCTAGGTTGTTTTCAGGTTCTGGCTATTACAAATAATGCTATGAATATAGTTGAGCAAGTGTTCTTGTCATATGATTGTGCATCCTGTGGATATATGTCCAAGAGTGGTATAGCTAGGTTTTGAGGTAGTTTGATTCCCAGTTTTCTGAGACACTGCCATATTGATTTCTAAAGTGACTGTACAAGTTTGTACTCCTACCAGCAGTGGAGGAGTGTTCCCCTTGCTCCACATCCTCTCTAGCATAACAAAGTACAGATTCACCTGCCTCAGCCTTCCAAGTGCTGGGATTAAAGGCATGCACCACCACCACCTGGTCCCAACCTTAATCTTAACCAACCATCAAATTAATAAATTATTGTACAAGTCTCCTTGGGTATCCCATGTAATTGATATAAAAGGATGGATTTTTTTTCTAGAGAACTTGACAAAAATAACATCCATTTCTCAGTGTTAACTGAAAGAAAACAGGATAGGAAAGTTATAGAACATTTTGTACAGTAAAATCTCACAATGTCTGCATTTGTAGAATATGTAAAATACAATAAAATATAATAATACAATAGAATAACTGAGCCTGTGATTGTTTATGTGATACATAGAAACTATTTGATTTGTTATGGTATATGTTCTTTTGACTAATAAAAAGGTTTGAAGGAAATGCAAGGGTAAGGAGAGGATAGGTCCTCGTACACCGCTGTGACTCTGGATCTCATATTGTGGGAAAATAAAAATCAAGGAAAAGATATAACCCTAACTTTTGGAGATATTAAAGTAATTTTTATTTTAGTTCTCTATTCTGCTCTGCACTGGCAGAATTTACTAATTAGTAAACTATCACTAAGAGTGTCAACGCGGATCCCATTGTAGGACAGGTTAGCCCTGAGTTTAATCCCAAGTGAACAGAGAAAGAATCATCTCCTGAGCATAGACTGAGTCCATGCTCTTATTAGGAAAATTGCTTGACCAAAGGGAAGTCAGGTCGAGTGTTATCAGTTGATTGGTACACTTTTTCTCTGTCTCTCTATAGTGTTTGGTTTTCAAGAAAGAGGAGTCACGACATCACCACACACGTCTTGAGCTTCTGTGTGCATCCTTCTGTTCTTTAGCTGAGTGTATCAGGGATTTATAATCTGGCCAGAAAAGGTAAGACTGTATTTATGTTTGTGCAGATTTCAAACACTGAGGCTGTTAGCAATTTCACAAGCAATTCAGTGTGAAGTTTTTAATATGACAGGATTCAGTGTAAAATTTAGTCAAGAGCGACCTGAATAAGAAAAACTTTTGGAGAATATTATAAATATGTCTAATTTTGTGTTTTAAGTGGCAGAAATTAAGTCATATTTGTAGACTGTAGGGTTTTATATCTAACTGGTATTATCATATACACCAAACTGTATTTCACATTTGTTAATAAATGAATTTTTATCTATCGTTGGAAGATTTACTTTACTGGAAAAATGCAAGGATCCCCAAATTATCACTTAAGTACATTTATTACTATTAACATTGAATTTTATTATATTTTTAAAATATCATGTAAACCATATAACAGTTATCTGTCCATTTTGATGACATAATGATGAAAAATAAATGTCTATTCATAAAGAGAAAAATCACAGAGACTCAGAAAACAAGACAGAAAAAGGTGGACAGTGCCCATTTTCAGCTTTGGTACTTATCCCTTGCTGACTCCCTGTCTAGAAAGTAGCCCATCACACTGTGATAACCACACATGCTGTGCTGTCTGTTAGCTCTCAGGAGAGAGTAGGAGATTACAGTGTAGAGTTTGACGAAGTAAATACTACAGATATTTTTATTTATTCTGTTGATTCTTTGAGAAGGAAGGCACTATTATGCTTTGACGTAATAAATCTTTTGTATGAGTTCCTTTTTGTCCTCAAGAAAGTTTAAAGATAAGATTACAAAGTGAACTTAGTAAAAAGAAGATGTCGAAATGCTGTAAGGGGCTCATAATTAACAGAAAGTAGTTACTGACCTCTGGCTCTGCTTAAATTATTTTTCCTTGCTATTGTTTTTATTCCCACAAATTAGGACTTACTTGTTTTTATAATAATAGAAAATCCATTCTCGTTTCTTGTGGAGGCCCAAAAATGTGAGCCTATTTTCATCTTGTCTGAAGGTCAGAGAGTTTCAGCTCACTCAAAATTTTTTTTTTAATTTCTTTAAATGTGTATTTCTTAAGAATTCAAATTTGTAATAAAACTATTTGTATAAAAATTAAGCTTTTATGAATTTGTTGCCAGGTCTGCCACTGAAACATGAAAAGTTACCACACTACTGCCAATAAACCTGTAAGCTTTGCTTGCGTACCTTACATCATTTTTATTTTGTATTTGTTCAAACAAGAGTCCTGGACTAGGGGTAATTTTTACTGATTAACTGCAAAGGAAGAGACAGCCCCCACCCCCACCCACTGCTCTGCCAGCCCAGACGCCATTTGGCCAAGGCGAGCAGAACTTGAGCAAGCACCTGAAATACATAGCCTGTCACTGAGGTTGCGCAGCGGCGGCGGCGCCAGACGCACAGAGGCTCAAAATTTTTGATAACAAGTACAGTTAAACATCCTGAGCTAAGGTGTGGTTTCTTGTGTTTTGGACCTTAAGATGGCCCATACAGATCCATCCACTCCACTCTGCCTAATGGTCAGGACATTCAAGCATACTTCTAGCTCCTTCTTTTGAAATAGGTGGTTTGACCTAGGGAGTGCCTGCCTTCAGGATACTTGGTCTAGGTTAGTTCACTGCCTAAACAACAGAATGCCTTTATCATGGGTTAGTGGCTTGATGGCTCTAAATATTGAAGGAAGTAACTATTCGAATTGTCCTTTGTACTGTGTTAAAGGAGTCTTTTGTCTTCTTCCACCTGTCATATTGGGTTATAAAAGTGCATGGAAAATTAAAGGCAAACAAATTTCAGTATTCATTGGAACTCCCTCTTGGTACTATTCTATATTTTCTGTTTTATTATTTTCACTTGCAATTTTGTTCTCTTTACTTATTTTTCCAACCCACATTCCCCTACCCTGGTAGTGGTATTTTTGTCAAAGCTGGTCTCTGACAATTTCAGTGTTCACAAACACATTTGTTTTTCTGGTCATTTTAAAATAACACATATTAAGTTTGAAAATAACCATGACAGCATTTAGGTTTAGTAAATACGATTAGGTGCTCAGTTTCTACCAATAAATTATAGAAGTTTGGAAAATAGTATTATAGTTGAAATTAAAAATTATGTATTCAGTTATGAAAGCATATGATGTATGAAACCAGAAAGTAATGTTTTATATTGGAAATGAAGACAATATTATAATATTGTTGCAGAAATCTATAGTTCAAAAGTACTCTACACATATAGAAATTATGATTGTATGTAAAGGTTTTGTGTATAATTATTGAAGGGAGCTTTATAAGCCATTTAAAAATGTTTTCTTTCAACAAGATGTTTAATAGGAATGAAAAGATATTGTTTCATTTTACTGGATATAGTAATATCAATATTTAAGCTTTAATTCGTCAACATTAAATTTGCACTTTGATTTTTATCAATAGATTCTATGGACAATAAATCATTATGAGAAACCACTCTGTGATTACAGAGTTTGTGCTCTTGGGCATTTCAGACACACCAGAGCTTCAGGCTGTAATTTTTTTCTTTTTATTCATTGCTTACATATTAAGTGTGTGTGGAAACCTAACCATCATCACCCTCACCTTGCTTGACTCTCGCTTAAAGATGCCTATGTATTTCTTCCTCCG